ATTTCAAAAAATACCATAGATCTTAGTACTTGCTTGGCCTATTTGCTTTCAACTAAAGTTAGAAAAAAAAACAAAGTCTATGTATGGGTGTTATAGTAATATTGTAGGAGGAGCTTAGTATTATAATATACTACACTTTACTGTAGTAGAATGATAGTCAGTAAGGGCAAATCCTTATAAAAAGCCCAAACTTTCAGATTTATATTCAAATATTATCCAGGTCTGAGTTCCAAAAAGCTACTTTTCAAAAAGAACCCTAAACTGAACCCCCCTAAACCTGAACTACACTAATTAAACTAACTAAATCAGAGGTGCACATTTATGTATGGTTTTGTATGCATGCTTTCCCATCCACAGAGGCCATGCAGATCTTTACCTAAAAGGAAAAGGAAATTTGCTGGGTAGAAAAGAGTTAGTCAGGTTCTTTTCCCCTTCGGAAGTCTTACTTGCAGTAAGGTGTTTGTAATTTTTTATTTTTTGTTGTTGTTATTGTTTTAGAAAAAATTACAGTGATTTGTATCTATGAAAGTTTGAGCTTTCTATTAAACCATAGTGTCACATGAAGTGTCACCAAAAAAAAAACTTTTAGGTTGAAAATTAAAGTTTCTTCCTGTTCTACATCTGAAAGCTATAGTAACTCTAACAAATGCACCTTGTATTAAATATATAAATTAGATTCAAATGTGGTTTTGATACCGTGCCTGCTATCTTTGTTCTGTTTGCATTATAAAATTACACTAATTTAAACTTGACTGTGACTCAACTAGATATGTTAAGACTGGTTTATGATCAGGTGGTATAGGAGGAAGGTTTATGATGACATTTATAAAAATGTAACTCAACAATTGGAAGGACCTTATCTCTTGAAATCCCAATAAATCGGTGCTGTAGTTGGGATTTAGTATTTAGTAAGAAATAAAAAAAATATAATTTTAATTTGCATACCATATACAAAGCATCCCCTTTCCCAAAACAACTTTAAATATCAGACCTTCACTGAAACTAATGGCTATACTTTTATTCCAAAGGACTACTTTGGGGTCTATTAAAAAATAAAAACGCTTACATATTACAAAGAGCTTCTGAATCCCTGACCCTAGGGAATCTGTCATGGTGTTCTTTAATTATAGACCAGCGGTTTAACATAAAGTTTGTGGGCAGCAAAAGGCTTGTCTTGATGCACCACATAGATTCTTACTCATACTTAAGTGTTGGAGGGATGGATCAATGGATCAACACCTCAGTCACATACAGGTCTGCTTGTATGACTCTGCAGGTTTCCCGGAAAGTGACTAGTGTCTGAAATTAATTTTATTTACTTTACTTGGCAAGATTGTATCATCATTATTCTTGAGACCAAAGTTTTTATTCTTCCTAGTTCATTGGAGTACTCTACTATCTATATATGTCTTAGTCAGTAAAAAACATTACCAATGAACAAAACACATTTTTATATTATTTCCTATATTTAAAGAAAAAGCCTAATTCATCTCTGGTACATCTCAATGAATTAGGATATAACTGATTATCAATATACTAAAGTATTTAGATCCACAAAACTTCATAGAGAAAGAGACTTGCTGCTGAGTGCTTTCTTCAAAACAAATCAATAAAAGTGAAAAAAAAATCCAAAACATTTTCATAGAAAAGTTTTAAAAAGTTACAAGTATAACCACCGAATCGAACAGGCAGTGAAGCTGCATATGATCAATTGTTTTCAGAGGTTATCAGGCAAGAAAAAGGAAAACATAGAAGCTGGTGCAGATGGGACTAAAGTGGCATTTACAGCAACCTGGGCTTCTTTAACACCTCAGAAGAGCCACAGGATAAGCATCCCTATAACACTTAATTTGGTGCGGTAATTCGTGGAGAATGAGCCCCTGCAGAGTGGTCACTGCTAGACCAATTACTTTCCAATTGGCCAGCATTCTTGTTCTAATCATTATTACAGTACCAATGGTTGTATGTAATAATCACATTTTTCCATTGGTTTTATTTTGGGGTTGTCTGCTTTGAAGCATATATATGTATATATGTATATAT